TTCTTTTATACCTGGAGAATGCATAATTGGCAAAGTTTGTGTGCATATCTGTGTGCACTTGTGCACCTGTATCCACCCAGCCACTGGGCGTAGCCACGCACATGGGTGGTTTTCTGGTGCAGCCCTAACACACTCCTAATACCTTTGCTCTGATTTGCAGAAAAAATGGCTTTTGTTGGCTTCAAAGGCAGCTTCCGCCCTGTCTGGGTGAAACTGGTCACTGATGAGGACTCAGCTAAAATCTATCAAGCACTGCCCATTCCTGTGGTGAAGAAAATGAAATTATGAGGACACACTGCTCTGCCTTCTGGCTGCCAGCGCTGCCCCGTGGGAGGGACTACTGGCTGCTCAGCGCAGGCACCCGGCCAGCCTGCGCCGCAGCTCTAGCGTTTTGTTGTTGTTGTTCAAAAAGAAACCTTACTGTAAGTAGCTAGAGTGGCCACATGTGAGAGAAAAGCCTTCCCCTCTGACCAGCCTATGTTCTGTGATCACCAGCTCCTCACTGGCTGACTTGCTCACCAATGCCATGTTGACTCTCGTGTTACTTAGCAAGGTTTGACCTGTTTGGCAAGGCGCTGGTTTTATCAGCACCCCTATGACAGACTGACTTGTGTGCTGCCTCTCAAAGGGGCAGTTTTAGGTCTGAAGGCCATTGAGGATTATTGCTTTTACCAGCCTCTAAGTTGTCCAAACACCTTTATTTTCCATAGTGTGGCTAGCTGCTCACATGAACATGGAATGCCAGTTCAAAGGCTGCTTGAAAATCTAAGATAGAAAGAGTATATTTTAATGATTACTTAGATGCTGGGAAACAAAACTGTGACAGTAAAATTTATCCTAAAGCTTCTATAACATTCGATCAACCTCTTTGGGATCTATGTTGTACATGCTAGCCCATGGCACATAACTGGGGAAGGGACGAGAGAAGGAGCAGATAAAACAAGCCAGCAAGAGACCGATGAAACCACCTATTTCTGCTTGCTCGGAAAACAGCGTTTCTCCTATGGATCAAGGTTTTTTTAATGCTCAGATAGGAAGTTTTCCTCCAAGAAGCAGATGTTGGCTAAAAGGAAAGCAATGTCAATTAGCACATATATTTTCTAAGCCTTTCCCATACAGTTCCTCCATATAGTAATGTCCAGGATCAGTCTGGAGGGTTTATGGTAGTCATTCAAAGCCATTCTGTTCAAGACTTCCAGTTTTTAACTAAGAATACTGGGACTTATCTTATTCAGCCTTGAATAGGGTGGACAGCCCTCATCTTTCCAGGGAGGTCAGAGGGACTGGATCAGACCATTTTCTCAACCTCTCCTGAGGTTTAAAAGCATGAGTGTCTTGGTCCTCCTGGAAGAGTTACATGAGATCTGGGTAGAAGGTGACAGAGGTCTTCCCAAATAGCTAGTTGGATGCTTTGTACCTGCTTTCCCTCCTCTTCAAAGCACTATCTGGGTAATAGAAGGCAGATTACCATAATAAGGGCTCCTAGGGGGACATCTCTTGAAACTCAGAAATTAAAAGTTACCTTGCAAAACATTGTAAGCACTTCTAGTGCTTGATGATACTTCTGTCTGCTGCTCAGCGATGCCATGAAGGCTGCTCTGGAGGCTGTGGCTATTCTAAGAAATCTAATAAGAAATCCAAAGGGAGGGGGACAGATGATGAGGGGGCTAAAAGATAGGATGATGAGCTTTTCAAAGCACACAGAGTGTCAATTTTGCCCATAGCATCTGGGTTTGCTTCTCCACTTCGTTTCTGCCTGTCCTCATTCATACAGAAATTACACTAGTTGCTGATGGTTACTTCATTTTGCTCTGGTTTAATTAAAGCTTATGTAATGGAGAGTTTTGCCCCCTCAGTATCCAGCATGCTCTTGCAGTAAGGATTTTGTGTGTCATTCCAAAGCAGGTGTTGCACTCCGTTTGGTTTAAATTGATTATTCTGAACGGCAAAGCAACCATGAGCAAAATTTAGATAGTCCTGTAGGTTACTTTCCCCTCAAGCCTCTCCTGGGTTTTGAAACTGGAAATGTTCTTTTTGGTCTTATTATATGGTTGCTTTGAACTCACTGAATGTCATGTGTATTGTATTTAAAAAAAAAAAAAAAAAAAGACCCAAGCTTTCCCTTCCTTGCTTATGAACAAGAGTCTGTTAATAGAAGCTTTCTAAGCATTTGTGCCATTTCCAGAATGAACGGGCAACACTTGTAGAAGGCAAATAAGGTGGTGTTTTTTTTCCTCCTCTGATAGCTTCTGATGGTTTGGGGATTTCACAAACTGTTCTTGAAAAATTCAGTCTCACTTGTAGCTCAGCCATGATTATACAAACACTTTTTATCTGATGTTCTCTGATAACCAAAACAGAGGCTGAGCAAATGGGCTAAAAAAATGTCCCTTGAGTATGTTAGTATGTTAGTCTGCGTTATCTAAGCCTCTTCATTGTCCTGAGGCAATTCTGTTGATATTATTGCATCGGTGTTAGCAGAACACACTTGCTTCCAAGAGATGGACCAGAGCAGGAGTATTTATTTTGTGAGCATTTAACAAACGGTGGGCAGGAAAGCTGGGCTCAGAATGTACCCGAGCTGGGATTTGGCTTTGTATGACTGCCCAAGGAGGGGTTGCCCTCTGTGGTGCTCTGCTTCTCTGGCCACCAGCGAGTGCCCTTCTCCTGCTCTCTGTGAGCAGGTACATGCCTGGGAAGATCATACCAGGTGGGTCTATCCCCCAGACTGGTTTGTTCAGCTTCTACGAGTGAGCAGCCTTTGTGCTGAAGTATAGCTTCTGGTTTTACTATTTTGGGAATACTCAGGGCGAAATCATAAGACTTGTCTCTAGGAAAAGCTTTTTATTTTTTCTTTCCTAAAAAAGCTCATCTTATTAAGTGGAGAAAACTTCTAAGTAGCTTGTTCTATCGTGCAAAGCTTGTCACATGGGGCCTGTTTTGGAGGTAGGGTGGGTCTCACACTGTGACTATGGACTGTGAGATCACTGCAGTCTGTAAGCCTGAGGGATAACTGAGCATCGTAGCAGCGTACCGGGGCAGCCACAGCTGAGGTGCAAAGGGCCCATCGACCTTCATGGGGTGAAGTCAGTGTGTTACTCTGAAGACAGGACGAAGCCTAATCCCATCACCAGTCAGCAATAGTTTTGTGCCATATGATTGCTTTTTAATCTTTGACTGTTCTAGAAATTGTGCGTGCACATTTTGACCCGTGAATTACCTGACTGCTTGTTCGTTGTACATCCTGTACAGCCCCTGCACCAGCTGCAGTTATCCTCTTTGTAAGGTTTAATTACTGTAGATGTTTCCCTGTTGCCTACACAGCTGCCATTGGTGGAGCGGGATGGGTTTGATTGCATTTTGTTTCTCTGTCTGTCTGTTTGGATGTTTGGAGTTTTTGCCTCTGTTTGAATGCTTGTTTTGCCTGTCGCCGAAACAGCTGGTCCTTTTTCGGAGTTAGATGTTTGTACATTTTCTTATAGACTTTCCAATGAAAAAAGATATATTTTCTATTAATTTATTATACTGGCACTAAGACAACTAAATTGCAGACATATGAAGCATTTTTTTCTGGAGTTTAGCATTGTCCAGATTGTTAAGGAGGTCGGCAATGTGTCTTTTCTGATAATCTGCTTTGCACTTGAAAGCTCTCTATGTCCACTGACCATGATAATGCATTGACTGTCTGGTTTATGACAAGAGCTCTTGGGACATTGTTTCCAACAGATTGTGGCTTACAACTGAAATAACATGTAGTTGTTTGGAGTACACAATGTTTAACAAAATAAATATTCGGTGCAAATTTCTTATTTTATTTTTGTCTCTTTATCTCTCTGTAGCAATGAACATGCATTTGCTGAGGGGACGCACACACAGCTTAAGACAGCCTGTGAGAAAAAGGTACCCCAGCTCCCTGATTAGCTCAAAAGACAAAAGCCAAGGGGCCAAACCACCCCGTGTGCATTTGCTGGCCAGACCACAGCACGTTTAACTGTCAGGATCTGAGACAGGGAGCTGGGAAGGGAAGGAGCTGGGAGCAGGAAAGGGGATATTACCACGGGCAGCCGTGGGAAGGGGCTGCATTTGGGGTAGGTGGGTGACTATTGGTAGGTTACATTAAAAATTTGTTCCTCTGTTCACAAAACATTTTTCGGTGAAAAGGGTAAACACAGGGTAAAAAGAGACATGGAAATATATAAGACACGTACAAAGTTTTTGTCATGGGCAGCTATTAACATTTATGAGAATCTCGCTGTCAGGTTAACTGTAACTGTAAATTTTCGATCCTGGGATGATGCCAGCTCGGCAAACTCTCCTATAACACTTTTTAGAGGCCCCATAACTAGAATGGGATTTTTTGGTGGCGGCAATCAGCATTTCTAAGAGCTGAGCACATATTTTTTTAATCAAGTATCAAAATAGTGCATTAGAGGAGCTCCCCAATCTTAGACACGCAGAGTCTTCAGGCCTTCAGGCCAGGAAACTGAAAACACACCCTGCCTACTCATGTCAGATTGAAATTACTGATAAATCGGACTTTCGCAGATCAACTCCGTCGGGAAATGAAAGAAAAAAGCTGAAAATCAAAGTAGAAATCTCATGCTGCAACACCAGCATTGAGGAAAAAAAAAAAAAGGATCTATTTAATAGTGTGACAAGATCAAAGCCTTCCAGCTGAGGCTGCAGAGGCTGCCCTGGGGCAGGGGCAGAGCTCTAGCCTCTTGGCAGCACCATGACAGCGCAGTGACAGGGTGGCATACGCAGGAGACAGTGTGTAGAAGGGGGTTGTATATATACATAGAGATATAGAAAAGGGGATGGATGGATGTAAGGGAGAAGTGTGTGTATGGGGGGGTGCATATTTCTCTGTGTGTACGTGAAGGCGGGAGTGTGTGTAAGGGAGGTGTGTGTATTTGTATGTATAGATAAGGGAGTGTGTGTGCATGTGTAAGGGCTGTCTGGATGTAAGGGGGGCCATATTTTGCTGTGTGTGTTTATGCAAGGAAGAGAACGTGTGTGTCTGTGTGTGTGTGTTGGGTGTGCGTAGGTCTCTGTGCGTGTCTAAGGGTGTGTCTGTGTGTGTGTGTAAGGAGGTGGTGGGTGACTGTGTGGACATTTCTGTGAGTTTGTGTGCGCCTCTACAGTGTGCATGAGGGGTTGTGTGTGGAGATGTGTATGTTTATTTGTGCATGTGTGGGTGTATATATCTAGGAACAACTCATTACATTTGCTCTGAAATTATCAGGTAATTTTCTACCCGCGGCTGAGGGGCACCACAGCACCC